TCATACAACTTTATTCTCCTAATACTGACTTTATTCTTGTACAACTTCATTGTTGTAATGCTTTGACTTCATTCTTGTAAATTATGACTTTACTGTCGTACGACTTTATTCTCGTAGTATTATGACTTTCTTGTCATACAACTTTATTTTCGTAATATTATGACTTTACTGTCGTACGACTTTATTCTCGTAATATTATAACTTTATTGTCGTACAATTTTATTATCGTAATATTATGACTTTCTTGTCATACAACTTTATTTTCATAATACTATGACTTTATTCTCATTCATAATGATTTTTTCCTTAGTGTAGTCCTAATACTTTCGTCGTAGGTTCCTTCTTTAATTCATATTAATAAAATGTATGAGAAGAGCGAATTGTACTTGAAAAGCATGTTTTGCCTTAAAGATTCAAAATGGTGCAGTGCAAAAGTCTCGATTCCTCCCTGATTATTTACATTTTAAATTTAAGATTAATCTAAGAAATTCTGAAAACATTTTAAATGCTGTCATAATTGTTTTTTAGTTTACCGAGAGTTATTTCACTGTTTTTATTTGGATTTTGATTATTTTTTTCACTCCTTTTCATTGCCGTTTACATATTTCTTGCAACACTTAGTCAAGTTTGAGCCACTAACTAGTGTCTAACAGCTTAATAAGATACTGCCTTTATAGAAGTTAATTACTTCAAACCATAAGCACAGTGCTGCACATAACTTATTGTGCTTTTCTATTAACACAAAGTTAATCTGATGTTTGAGCAGACGTCAATAATCATTTCACAGGTGTAGTCAGAAATCCACCACACCAGGTTCTGGGAAATTTTGGTTGGGTGTGGTGAGCTGCAGGGCCAGTTCTGAAATGAGAACTGCCGCTGATGAAACTCGGATCAACTGGGTGGAGTTGGTTGCATCATTCCTGTGATGACAGCTGACAGCAGGGGACAAAGGAACAGCTTTTAGATTTGACAACAGTGGAGCTGTTTGGCTCATGGGTACTGTGGCACATTCTGAAAAGCTGAGCAGCAAAACATGAACACCCTCTCAGAGATAATGAATCTGGTTAAATATGCATGCATGGAGACAGTATTACATAATAATATTAACCAAACTTCCTTAACAACTTTTGAAGTATTACAAACTTTATTTTTTGTAATTAACATGAACATGATTGTGGTTTATTTATGCTTAGGAGTTTTACAAGTTTCCGAGTGCAACACATGCACTCTTTAATGATCCAAGTTACTAAACATGGATAATTTACTTGAGAAAATCTATTTCTGCATTCTGCTTTGAAGAATGTGACTATTGAAACTGTTTGTGGTGCACTTTTGCATTTTAAGTAGGAACAAAAAGTCTCAACAGACAGTTTAGGTTTTGCTTTCTCGTTACACTTCTTCACAGACTTAACAAGCAAAGAATAACTTCAGCCTCTGTAGATAACCATAAAATAGATTTCACCTTTTTTCCCCACTCATTCCATCTGTGCATTTTATCTCTTCACTTGTTGCCTCTCTGTTTTTGACTCATCATATCTTTGAATTGTTGCCCCCAGGTGAAAGACCTGTGACGCCCCTGGTGTCTCAATATCAGTGATGCAGTAACTCTCATTGGCAGGCTGACGTGGCGCCTGACAGAAGAGTCTGTGCCCTCTGTCACAGGCTTATGAGACAAATATAGATCTGCAGCAGTTGTTCCTGCCTCAGCTGTACCATAGGAGACACATCTATTATATCCTGTTGCTCACCCAAAAATACAACTCATGAAGTTGATGAAATAAGTTACAGGGATGTACTTTTTTTTACAGGACTACAACTACTTTTATCTTTAAAAGTGAGTTTCTTAGTCCTAATACTGTATGACATGTGTCTTTTATTTTTATTATTATTATTATTATTATTATATAATTTTATACCCTAATTGGGGACAAAGCCATGACAAAACCAGGATATATACACAGCCAGAAGGACAAAATTAGCATAAGAAACAGGTGTGCTAATGACATATCTAAATCAGGTGTGACTGAAAGTGAGAAAGGAGAACAGCTGGTCTGATTTGACAAAATAAAATAAGAGTTGAAGAAAATAAATAAGTAATCCACAACAAGAAATGCCTAAGAAATTGACTAACAGATGAGGTCAGGCAGGAATCCCCATGGACTATGATATTTGCAGATGACATTGTGATCTGTGGTGAGAACAGTGAACACGTGGAAGAGAACTCGGAGAGGTGGAGGTATGCACTTGAAAGAAGTTGAATGAAAGTCAGCCATAGTAAGACAGAGTACATGTGTGTGAATGAAAGGGAGACCGATGGAACAGTGAGGCTACAAGGAGCAGAGGTCACAAAGGTGCAGGACTTCAAGTACTTGGGGTCCACTGTCCAGGAAAATGGGGAGTGTGGTAAAAAGGTGAAAAAGAGAGTCCAGGCAGGATGGACTGGATGGAGAATAGTTTCAGGAGTGATTTGCGACAAAAGGGTGTCAGCAAAGGGCAAAGGAACAATTTACAAGACGGTGGTGAGACCAGCTATGTTGTATGGTCTGGAGACAGAGATATTGACAAAAAGACAGGAGAAAGAACTGGAAGTGTCAGAAATGAAGTTGTCACTCTCAAGGAAAACCTCAACAAGGATGGATAAGATTAGGAATGAGATTATCAGAGGTACAGCACAGGTTGAACAACTGGAAGATAAAGTTAGAGAGACCAGACTGAGATGGTTTGGACATGTCCAGAGGAGGGACAGTGGGTATATTGGTAGAAGGATGTTAGAAATGCAGCTGCCAGGAAAAAGACAAAGAGGAGATATATGGATGCAGTTAGAGAGGACACGGAGGTAGTTGGAGTGAGGACAGAGGATGAGGACATAATGAGATGGAGGATGACTCACTGTGACCTGAAGAGGGAAAAGCCAAAGAAGAAGAATCCACAACAAGAAATGCACAACGTTCATCCTGTATCAAACTCAGTGGTTATGTCCTTTTTTACAGACTGTGTGAATCAGAGCTGATGATAAAAGTTTAGCAGTTATTTCCAAGATTAATTTAAAACTGTTGAGTTTCAGATACAACAGTTTTTACATTTATAATTATGCAATGAATGAAATGTGACTAATTTTGGACAAAAGTGAAAGTCTTAAAGTCCAGTATACAGCTTGAGGACATGTCCTAAAATCAAGACTTCTTCTTGCATAATCTAATACCCTGATCCTTTTCACACTGGCAATATTTTTTCTCTGGTCCCTCTGGTAGTTTAAATTTTTTCATTTTTTTTAAAGGAAAATTAGCTGATTTGACTTCTGTAGTTCTTCCTTCAGTTTTGCTTGAGGCTACAGTAGCTGCTACAAACATAACAACCACAAATTTCACCAAGTTCAACAGCTAAGTTGATTTTTGACACACAGTAAAAGAAAGGAAGGATGCTCAGAATAAAAGTATGTCTTTTTGTACTTTTTTCATTCATAGTAAGTTTTACAGTGTTATGAAATTGCCATTTAATACCTACTTGTCCTGCAGTACTTGAGGGATATTTGTGGGTTGGAGAACTGTGTGCTCAGTTGCTTTTTTTATACCTTGATAAAGAAATTTGTCATGAAAATAGATTAGAGAAATGCAAGTCCAATACATTTTAATCAGCTTGCAGTTCTCTTAAGGGGATAGTGTCAGCAGCCTCTTTTATCTAATCTGACTGTTCTTGTCTTTTTGCTGAAGTAAAACTGCCTCAGCATACAGAGTACCTCAAACTCTTTGGCATTTAGTTTGTCTGAGATGAGGTGAAGGGGTCATTTGTGGGGACTCCAGTTTTGTACCTGGACCACGGTGGCCACAGCAAGTTCAGGGTCAGTGCAACCATACCAGATGATTGGACCCTGGTGGATTTCTGTGAATGAAAAATGCAGGGCTTCTGTGCCAAAGGACTGACTCACTTTAAAGTTTACTTTTTCATTTTATGCAGTTCTTTGCCTTTAAGGATGTGTTTTACAGAACATGAAGAGATGGATATTGAGAGGGGATGATGCTTTGAATCATTTTTTATCCCAACTTCAAATGCATCTCTGTTTGTGAAGACTTTACTGCTCAGCTCAGTTTAATGGTCTGGTCTATTCTGGATCATGTATATTTATAATTTTTAAATGTATTTAAGCCAATCTGGTCTGTGAAATGCTATGAGAGTTAGTCAATTAATCATTTTATCATTAGACACCATTGTTTTTTCACCCATGCACACTCTGCGTCTTCTTCTTTGGCAAGCTCACAAATACATTCGAACTGGTAATCAACTCAAAGATAGAGTTATGTGCAGCCTTTAAACACTCGGATCATCCAAACAGTCATTGTGCATTCATGGCAGTGGCTCCTAATTGTCTCAATAGACGTTGAAGACAAAACAAGAGCAGCTTAAAAGAAAGGAGGTCACAAAACTCCAAATTCTAGCCAAGGCACCTGTGACTCCTCAGCTTTTGTTTTTCTTTGCACGTCCCGTTTCGTTACATTGTATCACATGCCACAGTCACCAAAATCAAGCGTGATTGTACAACAGCTTGATCATTCTTTCAGCAGCTCAAGCTTTACGACCTGTTGTTGTTGTGCTTTACAAATGAAACAATGGTAGCGCTCAGTGTGTGATCCTGAACAGTAATTAATGTCTCCCACTCATTTGTCACCATGCACCAGTTGTAAGCATTTAAAGGCAATTATTTAGTGTTCAACAAAAAAGGTTGAATCATGTCATCTGGACTTCGTTTTTTTGTTAAAAAGAAACGTTTCGCCCCTCATCCAAGAGGCTTCGTCAGTCTGAGGCCTAGCCATCTGGTATTACCCAGAAGCCACCCTGACTCTTGTGTTTCAAGCCTGCCTCAGATACCCCTGAAGTCTGGCCTTTTCACTAATGGTTTCAAAAACACAAAGTTTGTTTTCTCAGTCATCCAGGTATATAACAACAAAAAAGGTTGAATCATGTCATCTGGACTTCGTTTTTTTTGTTAAAAAGAAACGTTTCGCCCCTCATCCAAGAGGCTTCGTCAGTCTGAGGCCTAGCCATCTGGTATTACCCAGAAGCCACCCTGACTCTTGTGTTTCAAGCCTGCCTCAG